TATAATTAAAATTATTTAAATAATCATTCATAATAAAATCATTTTTAAAACAAATGTAAAATTAAATTGTATTTTAATATTTAACAGCCATAAACAATGTTTAAAACATTAGATTAAATTTATAGATATTAATAAAACCAATTACTTTTTAAGTATGGTGACGTCATTGATTACATTAACCACAACATAAAATTCCATAAAATATCATAAACAATAAATTTTTATTTCAAATAAAAATGTAAAATTAAATTGATTTTTAATATTTAGAAGCCATAAATAATATTTAAAACACGGAAGTTATGCATAATAAAACGCATTATTTTGTTAATAAAATGGCAACAAAGTATCGGTTACCATAAATAATTTATCCAGCTGTGGGTTTACCATAAGTTGTATTACTCGCCAAAAGAAAAATCGCCAAAAAATCGCCAAAATCCGTGCAACCGTCTACCAAAGTAGCACCGTACTTTCATTTTACAAAATCGAGAAATATGCTTTCTTACTGCTAAACATCTGAAACACGCACCCCTTTTTAACAACATTCGCTTTTTCTCTTCATAAGGCAAATTATCAGCATACCTACACTGGCTACTCATATGTGCTTTGTTACAAAATACACAACTTTCCTTTTTAATATCCGAAGCGTTACATAACTCTACAGCTGTCGGAGTAAATCTTTCCCGTCGTGCTGACGCGGGTGAAATAATTTTGCTTTCGATTCAGTTTCACGGTTAAATCCGGTCCGTGCTAGACGCACTTTCTCTTCGCTTTCAATCTCGTGACATAAAAATTTCATCATGTTATCTAACTTATCAACAGTTTCTTCTTTACATGTTAGGGATATGGAATTCAAATTTTTTTCCTAAATTCTCAATATGTAGACAGGCAAACAATATTCAATCAATGGATACAATATTGAAGAATAATTTGCGCTGGAAACACCTAACATAAGTTTCAATCTTATCGTACAGTTTGAAAAAAGGCATTTTAGGGCCTTTACCGATTGCGTTATTCATCATCAATAAAAGAACTTCTCTAATATACACTTCGATTAACATGTTAGTTCAGCCAAATCTCGTCTTTAAACATTGTATTACGTTTTCATAACTATCAGCTGCGGCGGGAAATGATTCAACAAGTTCTCGCGCTCTTGAACCCTTTAATGTAGCTTGTAATAAATACTGATATTTATCCTCCTTCGCGATTTCATTATCGTTGTGTATCTTCTCAAATTGTGCCCCAAATGACAACCATTCTATCTAACATGATATCACCGCCGAACAACTCAAATTCTATTTTAGGAAGCTTAAACTTCCGTCTCGATGAATCATTGACTATTTGAGAATTAGATAGATTTTTATCAATAATAGTAGTACTTTGGTTTGCCAAGTGAATCCGTTTTTTCGTTCTAAATTTCCACAACAGAATTCTTTCGCGATATTCTTCTGTAGTTTGAATCTCTTCATCGAATTCTTCTGTTCTCAAAGTACTTTCGATTTCAGATTCAGCTATCTTAAGGGATTCAAACTTATCGTTCAAGATTTCTAAGTCTTCTTCTAACAAATTTATATCAACAGAAGACTTATCTAGTTCTAATTCTATTTTCTTAAAAATTTTGGTAAATTGGACGTTCTCAAACCACTTCTCGTTTTCTTTAGTAATGTGTTCTACTGACATGTTTACTGAATCAAACATATAACATATAAAATCTTAAAGAATTCAATAAGTGCCTTTCAAATTCAAAATACATCAATTTATAAATATCAATCTTCGATTAATTCGCTTTCGTCTCGGCACGGGATGCCAAATTAATATTGCGTCAATTCAATAGACAATATTAATCAATGCGTAAAGCATTCCAACGGTATAAGCAAAATAGCACTTACCTGAATCACCGGGTTTTTCATTCAAGTATATCCAAAAAATACGCAAAGGTTCAGCTTCTTAAAACTTTAATCTGTACACAAGTTATAAAAGAGAGGTTATTAAAAGAGATAAAAAACTACGCATCTATTTCCTAAGGCATTCAAAAATAAAGTAAACTAAAAATAGAACACTGATTACATCATTTTTTTTTAAATCGTTGAGCGCGCGGTTAAAACTTACGTAATCAGTTCAATCCGTTATGCGCGCGCACAGGCGGAAGTATCACTTATCCAACAATAACATCTTCTCTTTTAAATCAAAATTTCACGCACTTTACCATTTTTCATGCACAGATTTTCGGGCTGCTTTTTTAAATTTAAAACGTCTATTTCTTAGCTGCGAATTGCGTTTGTCGTAGTCAGTGTCAACTTAAGTACATGAGCACTCCACTTCCTCTTCTAGAGGGAAAAGCTCTATGAATTAGACCGTATCTTCTAAGTCCTGGTAAATCACAAGACAAACCCTCAATGCTTAAGCTCGCAGAGCGAACAATACTCTTAATACTCGACTAAATTGAGCTCAAATCTGGACTAACCCAACTGTGGCCGGAGACAGCATCTTTGGAAGCTCTCTTCGGTGTAACATAGTTTTCCTCCATTGGCTGAGAAATTTCTAGTATCTTCGATTTCTCGAAACTGCTGCAAAGCACACACTACACTTACAGTTACATAGAGCCAGATAAAATTACGCAGACCTGATACAGTTACTATCCCGTTTTACCTTCGATATCAGAAGAATTTTGATGGAAAATGAGTATACAATCAATTATCCAATAAAAGACATCTCGTCACAACACAAACAGTTTAATATTACGATTCTATTTACAAGTCTAATTAAGTGTTAGTCTTAGCTTTGACACCTCAAAGCAATACTCAGAACATAAATGGCATAAAATATTACTCATCAGTTTTTAAATACTCATGAAAAACATCTCAAAAAGTCATTTTTCTCATTACTTAAAACGAAAGTAAACAATAGAACAAACTCGAAAACGTAGATGTAAAAACTCAACTGTTGCCAATCGCGATTTACTAAATTACATCAAAATAAAGATTATAATCAGGTAGAGGTTCAACTTCACATCCTCCCACCTAAGTTAATATTTTTACCTCAAAAACTTAACTTACAAAAGAAAATTGTGAATATTTTATAAGTTACAAAAAGAAAATTATAAGTAGTTCATAAGTCCAGTCTCTTAGGTACTTTGATTGTACGACCTGCTCTAGTCTTTTGAATCTGAGGTTCCGTTGTCACAGTATATGATTCTGCTCCGTCCTCTACGAGCTATAAATCTTCTAAGAGCTAGTAGAAAACTCTCAGTAGACATCGATTCAACCAACTCTAAATGGACTGCCCTATAAATGGCGCAGGTGAATAAACAAATCCAAGATTTCTTGTTGCCTTTCAGGATTACTGGTCCCGCAAGATCAACTCCACATATTTCAAATACAGCTGCTTCTCGTAATCTATCTTCTGGATTAACCCCAGTACAAGTTTCTAGGTTCTTTGCAGAAAATCTTCTACACACGGTGCATTGATTGATGATAGATCTCACAGTTTTACGAGCATTCAGAATCCAAAATCTCTCTCGTAGAATATTTATTAAAATTTGAGTACCAGCATGTGCATTTTTCTCATGATAGTATCGCACTAGTCTCTTGACAACCTCATGATTGGATGGAAGAATAGCTGTAGTTTTAAAGTCTTTTGTATCCTCACGAAAGGTAAGTTTAGTTTTTAGTCTGAGGATTCCACTTTGATCCTTGAATACTCCTAAAGTTCTTAATTTCTCATCCTTTTCATTCATAAAACAATCTTCTTGAACCATTTTGATCAATAACTTCTTAGCCTCAAAAATTTCATCAGAATCAAGGTTTCCATGCTTTCTCACTGTTTTTTCAGTTCGACAATTCAAGGTGAATCTTAGGATCCAGGCAATTAGATTAACTATCCTTTTGTATTGGGAAAAATATCTGTAATACCAGTCTCTCTTGGTAACCAAGCATGCAAAAACTAAACATTTAGTTACAGAAGAAACTATGCTCTTTTTCTTTTCTCTAACAATATCAGTCTCATCTAAATTTAAGTCACCTTTAGGCCAATCTTCTTCAGATAAAGTTGGTCCAAGTTGGATTTACTTGCCAACTTGGACCTAACCACCACTGAGATTTCAATAAGGAGAGAGCTGAACAACCTCTACTCGGAAGATCAGCTGGATTCATGCAACCAGGAATATGTCTCCAAGAATCTTTATATGTTAGTCTTCTTATTTCCTTCACCCTATTCTGGACAAATACACTCCAGGCTTCTTCTCTCGTTATCCATGCTACAACAGTAGAAGAATCAGTCCAGAAGTAAACTTCTTCACTCTGTATCTCAGACAAAACTGAGGACGAAAGGCGAAACGCTATAGTAGCTGCAAGTAATTCCAATCTCGCGATAGTAGTTTCTTCTTTTCCAGTTGGTGTAACTCTACTCCTGGCTTGTATCAGTTGTACTTTAGTAGAATCAAAAGTTTTTTATACGAATGAAAGCAGCCACGGCATAAGCATGCTTACTGGCATCACAGAAAATATGTACTGAAGTATTTTCACTCGTACTCCTTGAACCAAAATATCTTGGAAAATGGAATCTTTTCCAGATAGTCAATATCTTTCAACCATTTTAAAAATGTAGTTCTCGTACAGGTATCAACTTCTTCATCCCATGTTATCTTCTGCTTCCAAGTTTCTTGAAGTAATAACTTAGGGATGAGGATAACAGGACAACATATACCAAGAGGATCAAACAATCTATGAGCTGTAGATAAGATTAAGCGCTTAGTCACTTTTTCAAAACATAACTCTTTTATACTACCAGTATTTATTCTTAGAGTGTCAGATTTTTTTTATTCCATATAAACCGAGCACATTTGTATCAGCAGAAGCATCAGCATTAATATCATTGAACTCCCACCCTCTAAGCTCAAATTTTCTCTCAGCCATTACCTCAGTTAATACACTAATAAAATGATTGAGTTCTTCTTCATTTTTAACATAACTGACACAATTGTCAACATAAAAACTATGCATAAGTTAATTTTTCGTATTTAAGGATTCACCGGTTTCTATTTTCTCTAAAACAGTTTGTAGGTGAAGTTGAATTGTAGAGTTTAGAAGAAAAGGGCTACTTGCTACACCAAAAACTACACGGCAGTGCCTGTACACTTTCAGTTGACCATCACTATCAAGCCACAAGAACCGCAAAAAGTCTCTATCAGTAGGTGAAACACTTATTTGAAGAAAGACTCTTCGTATATCAGCAATAACACCAATCTTTTCTTTTCGAAAGCGTGTTAAAATACTCGGAAGCTGTTCTATTAGATTTGGGTCTAAGCAGTCATTAAGACTAGGAAATCCCTTTACTTTGGCCGAAGCATCAAATACCGGTCGGAGTTTTGTAGTGCTATTCCTTTTGATAACTTCTCGATGAGGAAGGTAAAGAACTTGCCCTTGATATTTTTTATCAGCCTCTTCAATTACTCCCTCTTCTAGCCATTCCTTGAAAACATCTCCATAAGCTTCATAATTGGACTCGACTTTAAGACGTTTAACAGTTTTGTTCAGTCTTCTCTCGGCTAAGTCAAAATAGTCTGTTAGTGGTGGATGATATTCCAACCAGGGCAAATCAACCTCGAAACGATCATCGACTATACGAACTGTATTTAGAAAATGTAACCGAGCAGCTTCTTGTAGTTCAGTCTGGTTTTTCTTGACTGATGGGTCAGTGATCCCAAGTGTGTCCAAAGTCCATAGATCTGTTATGGTCTCCACACTAGATAACAAGGATGTAACTAAGAACGATGATGAAAACTCACTTTTCGAAGTATTCGGCATTCGTCCCATAACTGACCATCCAAATTTGGTCTCAATAGCTACGAGACCACAAGGCAACTCACGACGACCACCTGTCATGAGTGTTCCAGCTACATCAGCCCCAATAAGAATCTCAATAGGATTTTGACAATCATCCACAATATTTATATTATAGGCTGCTAACTCTTTCAGACCAAGCTTGTTGACAGTAGGTGGCACTGACTTACAAATAATTTGTTGACTAAGAACTTTAAAGTTGCAATTATAATTCCCGTGCACACTCGACAAATATAAAGTGTATACATCATGCTTGCATATCCCTGAGTCCTTCCCTCCAAATAAAGAGTGTTGTAAATATTCACAACTCTGAGGTTCATAGTTCATTTCTTTAGCTGTACTTCTTAATAAATATGATCTCTGTGAAGCAGTATCGATAGTAGCTCTTGCGACGCATTTTTTCCCATTACTTCTAATTATAACTTTGAATGTTTGAAGCATTACGTCCGGAGTAGAAGATAAATTTGAAAGAGCTTGATCCACTTCGGCACTAATCTCAGTTTTCTTTTCAACTTCAGGTGATTCTTCGTTTTTTTACATAGTTATTTGGTGCATCTTTCTACACAGAAGAATATGGTGTTTTTTACCACAACACAAGCAACCAACTTTCAAGTTACAATCCTTGACTGAATGTCCAGATTTCAAACATAAAAAACACTTGTGAGATTGTTGAACCAGTTACTCCCTCTGCCTTAAAGGTATTTTTTTTTACTTTTAGACAGTCTCCAGAAAAATGTGAATTAGAACAGAATATGCACTGTTTTGATACTTGAGATGAAGTTAGAAGGTCTGTTGCACTAGGTATATTTGAAAACTTTCTACTCTTACATTTGTTCTCTATTACCTTTTTCTCATAGGAAGGATTATGTTTTACTTCTGCTTTTGGTTTCGATGTGTTGAAACTTTGAGAGGCTAAAAAAATGCGTTCTTCAGCTTCAACTTCGGCTTGTAAAAATTCTAAAATGCATTCTAAATCACTTTTCTCAATTATAGTTTTACTTTCGTTTGAACCATCTAAACTCACTTCTCGAATTCTACGATGAGAAGATCTATAGCGCTGCCAAGCAACAAGAGTTTCTTAGGGTAATGATGATTCAACTAGTGGAAAAAGCATTGCAGCATATTTTTCCCTAGTAACACCTAATAATTCAAGTGATTGCCGTTTACTCTCAAGTTGATCGAACAATTTCCTTAATGAATTTTTAGAATTCTGTTTTTGAAGAACTAATACTAATAAGTCTCTGACATATACCTGAATCAATAGTTCATCTCTGCCGAAACGCATTTTCAGCTGTTTTAAAGCTTTTTCGTAACTATTACCCCCTGGGGGATAGCTCTTAATTAATTCTTCAGCAGAACTGCCCTTTTCCATTGCTTGAGATAAATACGAAAATTTATCGTGAAAATCGATATTAATGTCTTCATCAATTTTTGAAACTGACCCCAAAAGTATAGCCAATTTCGTTACACTACCGTCAAAAGTAGGTAATTTTATTTTTGGGTAACGTAATAAAGTGTTCGGCTGCGAAACAATGTTCAAATTTTCATTTTTAGAAGATAATTGTTCACTCACTAGTAGTGTTTCTAGCTTCTGTTTTAAAGATCTCCATCGATCAATATACATTTCTGACTCATCTACCGCTTTCTCTATTTCGGTATCGGAAGTATTTTCAGAATACAAATGTTTATATTTCTCTTCACATGCTATCATTAATAAAGCTTTCTCTTCAATTAGCTTTAATTTATTAATTTTATCAGCATGATTTAATTTGATTTCTTCCTCATCAAAAGTATTACATGCTCGAGTAAACAACCTTCTAAGTTGCTTTCTATCTTTTAAAACAATATCTATAATGCACAAAGAATAGAAGAAAATATAAAATATTTTTTCACTCACTCTTAAAAATGCAGCCGTAGTCCTGTCTCTTGGACGCCAGATATCCCGTTTTACCTTCGATATCAGAAGAATTATGATGGAAAATGAGTATACAATCAATTATCCAATGAAAGACATCTCGTCAAAACACAAACAGTTTAATATTACGATTCTATTTACAAGTCTAATTAAGTGTTAGTCTTAGCTTTGACACCTCAAAGCAATACTCAGAACATAAATGGCATAAAATATTACTCATCAGTTTTTAAATACTCATGAAAAACATCAAACATCTCAAAAAGTCATTTTTCTCATTACTTAAAACGAAAGTAAACAATACAACAAACTCGAAAACGTAGATGTAAAAACTCGACTGTTACCAATCGCGATTTACTAAATTACATCAAAATAAAGATTATAATCAGGTAGAGGTTCAACTTCACAGTTACAATTACACAAGGAACCGAATAAAATGTCACAAATTTTGGCGATTTTTTCTCCAAATTTGGTAACAAGAATTAGTCGGCAGATCCTTCAACAGCTTGTCTTAATCTCGAGAACCATTTACCTCAATATTATATGCACTTACTCATGTACCTTATTTCCTTGGAGATGCTTTGATTCTTGAGATCTTTCATAATACATTATAGAAGAGATGCTTTAATCTACATACAATTTCACTAAAATTATTTACATATATATACATAGTTTGTAACATTGCTTTTAAGTACAACCGAAATAAAACTCCTTCCTTCATCGGAATGCAACTGAATAGGCACTCCAAAACTGGAGATTGAATGCTGTATCACTACTAACTTTGCTACTTTGACGGCAACTTGATCAGAAACAGGATACGCTTTAGACCATTCTGTAAAGTAATCAATGACAACGAGGATGTATCTGCTACCCGTCAGCAATCCGTGGCTGTAATCCCAGCATATCCCAGGCAATACGTTCAAAAACGCACCTACATTGGCAGTGTCACAGCTTTCTTCGATTACATTTCTTCGGTTCTTTCCGACCAACACAGGCATCGCGCGATAGGCACCATTTTTGCAGGTCAACCCTTGCTTTATTCCAATAGAAGTGATCGCAAGCTCTAAGTAAAGTCTTCTTTATGTTCGATATGGCCTCCAAACGGACTGCTATCTGATAGGAGTAATTCTTTAAGGACGTTCGGGATCCAGGAGCTTGGAAGGGTCAGCTGCCACTGGAATGCTATTCTATTATCCGATTCGAATTTCCGGTGCAAGACCCCGTTTCGAATATGAAGTGAATTCCAGAGAGCCCATAATTTTTTTTTTGTCATATGATTATAGATTGAAATGTCCTGTTAGGTTGGTTTCTTATTTTAAGAGTCTCGTAGGTCAGTTATGGGGTCAATGTTGCGGTCTTCCAGTTGGTCTTTCCTCACTTCTTCATCACTCCATGGGTCTGGGTCAGCCGATATTGTAGTTGTAACTTGATGTGCGATCAGATTAACGAACTTGTATTTCGCTTCGACCCTGGAATTATATCGGGAGCTTTCTGGAAACTGTCTTCTAGACAGGACATCGCGTTTTCATGTGACGATGCTTATCGATGGTGGATACTGATGTCATATTCCTACAGTCTCTATGTTCATCTGAATATTTGGTCTTCGGGATTCTTGAAATTAAGAGTCAGGTCAACGTTGCATGATCTTTTGCCAAGCAGGAATTTTATGCCCGTAGAGGTAAATGTTTAAATGTTCTACGACTTTAACGATGGCGAGTAACTACTTCTTGCCGATAAAGTAATTCGGTTTCGGTTTATATAGCCAGTTGCCTCAGTATGCGCGACACGTTCTTGACCGATTATTTCTTGGGATAAGGCAACATCGACACACTCCTTGCTCGTATCCATGTGAAGAGTGAAATGGTTTGTCGAGTTGAGTATAAGTCAGAATTGTTGCAGTTATTAAGGCTTCCTTCAGTTTGTAAAATGCATCTTCACATTATTTGGTCCACAAGAACTCTTGCTTGCTCTCTGTTACTCTGTGACGAGGTCTTGTGGTGGAAGAAACTTCCTTTCAAATCTCTTGTAATAGGTGCAAAGCTTGTAGGGTTTCCCTTAGTTCAAATAACCAATTATTCAAATTTTTGTTATCTTTCCTGAACTCCTCAACTTTCCCTTGTATTTCCTCACCAGGATGTTAATTTAAATTTAAGTGAAGTGAGTATTTAAACGGATGAATCTTGGAGTTTATTCAGAACGTGTTTTCGCTAGCCAGCGCACGTTTCGTTTTTGACCAGCCCCTTGGATGGATTTAACTTCCTGTTATGGACGATGAGGGGGCAATTAAACCAGCGGTGGTATTCGACGGCATGAACTCCGTCACTTCATTTTTGGATGCCCTTGATACTCACTTCCAGTTGTATCCTGTACTCGAAAGGCAGAAGGTGGCTATTGCCTCGAGAGCCCTACGAGGATAGGCGGAGTCTCGGTGGAAAGGAAGTTCTTACTTGGAGAAGATGGAAGCATAATCTACACATTTGAGAACTTCAAAGCGGCACTCCTGAAAGCTTTTCCTATAGTTAAAGATCGTGCCAAACTTGAAGCTGAACTCTACAGCTTTTACCAATAGAGGATTGAAGATCTTACTGAGTTTATCCTGCGTAAAATCAAGCTAGTGAATATGCTGTACGGTGGGAAGGTAAACAGCGAAGTCATTGAAATTATATTGCCAAGATTATTACCCGGGGTTCAGGATTTCGTGGAGCTCCGAAATCCACGAACGCTGGAAGAATTATTCGAGTTAGCCGTAAAGTTCCAGAATCAGCGGATAGCAGAAGAGTCAAGATTCCCTGTGCAGAGATATAATCAGCAGTTCTCCCGACAGCCGGCCGCGGAAAGAAAATAAATAGAACGGAGGAAAGCGTTTCGCCATCAACGAACAATGAAAAACGAGCAACGGACAATGAAAAGGATGAAGCCAAAATCCACCAGCGTACCCAGAAAACATCAGGAGGAAAAACGGCTTTAAACGAATACAGAGGCCTGAGAATTTGAGAGTCCAGACCCCCTGGGCATCGAAAAATCCATATAAAATGTATGTAAATACTGTGGTAGTGAAGAATTCCCAGTTACCTCTAATACAGGTTCTTTTGAACAATGTATCTGTGGAAGCACTCGTAGATACCGGAGCTGAAAGAAATTTTTTAAGTCTAAATTTTTATTACAGAAATTTTAGAAAAGTACGGTTATTTAAAAATAATACAACGGAAATCATAGCCGCTCAAGGGAAGGTTTGTGAATGCGTCTGAAAACTGTCGCTTAATGTGCAGGTTAAAAAAAGAAAATCTAAAAGTCTTATTTTTGGCGGTGAAATATTTACAAAATAAAGTCATCCTTGGAACTCAGTTCTATAGGGCAGCAAATGCAAGAATTGATTTTTCAAGTAATTCAGTCACGTTGGATATGGAGCCAAGGGTGGTGGAAGCTGAAAAAATTCCAGAAGTTGACCTCCAGCATCTAAAGCAAGATGAAAAGAGCCAAGCTGCAAGAAATTGTAAGTAAATTTTCTTCATTATTTGCTGATAGGCCA